TTCCCTTGCTATTTATTGAATTGCTACTCACTACTTGAGCGTTGCTCTCAAGCTTTGACATCCATGTGAGCTTGAAATTTGTTCAAAATACCAGATACTAACACAATCTGATTAACAATAAAGCCGCACCTACAGCCTTGCCGTGTTTTCTTTTCCCTCTGTAACATAAAACATAACAAAAAGGCAAGTTTATAAAGAAGAATTAAATATAACAAGCTTAAAAGAAAACTTTTATGTTGGAGGGAGCTGTCCCAGCTTTTCATATCACTGTGTGATCATTTAGTTTCTCTGTTATTAATGCTGGTTTTGTCTAATACATCTTCTAAGTCACAGCCTTGGCCTGCACAAGTTCAGAGTTGTTGCTGTTGTGTAATCCTTGCTCTAATTCCTTTATTTCTCTTTGCTGACGCTTTCCACCTAACCAAATGCACGTGTATGATGTCTAAATTCCTATGTATTAATCTGAAGCATTCCCATACATAGGAATTTGAAGATGTTGAAGAAAGCCAGAGTCATGAAGAATCAATCAATTCTTACCATTTCGTAAAACTTATTTTCCATACCAGACACCAGTGTAATTCTTGTTTGTAACTGAAGAGTCACCTTCTAAGAAGCTTAGAAGCAACATTTTAATGCCCCTGAAAACTTCCAGGGCTGTGAGGATACAGCAGCTGGGGCCGAGAGCAGGTACCTGAGCTGCAGAAACAGGAGCTGCCCGTGCTGGCAGGTATCGCCTGCAGCAGGAGCCCGGCACGTGGCCTCGAGCGGTTTCTACTCCTGTGGCAGAGGTGAACCCTGTGGAGACCTGGGTATTTCCAGGTCTGCAGAGCTAAGCCTCACATTTGCCACTGGAGGATCTTAGATGCAAGGACAGGGATGCATTTACAGCCTTATCTCCTTGCAGTAACTCTCGTGCCCCCACGCCTGCTCCAGCAGCTAAAAGGGCATGTCCGTAGCTGAAACACAGGTTACACTGCACACCTGTAATACTCCCTTCTCAGGCAGGGTTTTTTTTTTTTTCAAATTTAAGGTTCACCAGACTTACTATGATTGCCTGCTGTCTACATATTCGCATGATTTAAATTGTCGCAATACATCAGCGTTCAAATTCCTTTCTATGGCATCCCCTCCCTGACTACTCCATACCTCACTGAGATTACTCTCCTCTTCCACTCCTACTAATGGTCTACCTCTATAACCTAGACTGCAAATGACACTCCTTCAACCCAGTCTTACCAAAGTTTGAGGTGATCCCTTCCTGAATAACTTATTTCTAATTCTTTTATCTTCCTTTCCTATGTTTTCCCCCTGACACTTCCTACTAAATGAAGCCCCCCCTCCAGGTATGTGATTTAACTTCTAAACTCCCCGATGTCTGTCTGCTGGGACAGTGTGCGTGGGAAGTGAACATGAGGTGACAGGAGATAACAACCTATCTGTTAATGACAACTTGTAACTTGCATGCTTTTGGGATTGTTGGGTTTTTTGAGTTTAATATTTTTTTTTTCCTCAGTAAAATGTAATTGGCACTAAGTAGGAGGAAACTTACCTGTTGCATGAAAATTTTACTAAAAGCTAGGGAACACATACACTGTTGTGAAAAAGTAGCTCAGCAAAATTGTCCTTGTGAAATGGGTTAAATTCTGCACTGTGATGGGAAAATGAGTGTTTCTTCCTATAGCAAAAGCTTTGTTTCAAATCTCAGGGCAGAATTTGACCCATTGACTGTACACAGGGAATATAAATACTGTGAAATTTTGCATTATGTTTGCACCTGTTTGCAAAATATTCAGTAGTGTGTGTATGGCTGAAAAGCAAAATCTGCCCTGCAAATCTGCGTTGCTGATCAATTCTTGCTTTGCTAAAAAACCCGTAAGAGTGAAATGTATACCCATACAGAGTTTTAATGAACCTTTTCTTCCTATGAAGCAATCAGTTTGTAATTCTACATCACAAATGGATGTGAAGAACAGAAGTAGATTTTTAGAGACGTCTAAGTTGTCTTCAAGGAAGAAAACGGCCTTAGCCATAGATCTAGAAAAGAAAGCTGAGCATCTTTGGCATTAGCTGCATGCTGATGATGAGTTACAGCAGCTATTTCAGTAGGTTTCTGAACCACGTTGTGTTTATTTCAAATGCCTGAAATACTGCTGTAGAAAGGACAGATCTAATAGTGCTTTGAGAGTGCTGACTACGTTCATGTGCATATTTCAAATCAAGGCAAACCTTGGTACCCTGTGCTGTCAGGTTGGGCTTTATGTCGTATAATGCTCATAAGTTTTTTTTTTAAGCACTGCCCTATTACTGTAAATCTGCCTGCTTCACCTGACTGAATTCCTTTCCTGTCCTGTGACTTCTGTTTATATGCTACTTCAAACGTAATTAATTTATTTTATCTCAGGTTTACTTCTTAACTTCGTCCCCCTCTCCTCCTTTCCTCTCTTCCCCTCTTCCCCTTCGGCTGAAAAGCTCCTTCGGTGTGTGTGAAATAACAGGTTTCTCGTTCTCATTCTCTTATTTTCCATTGCACCTTGTTCCATGACACTTCACACCTGAAGTTCATGAGCCAGGTATGTGACATGACTTCTGATTTACTCCACCTAGGTGCAACACAAGTGTGTGTGTGTGTGCGAGCCGAGAACAGGAGTCTTGGGTTGGTAGAAGAGAACAAAACAAGAGAAACAAATATTAACCACAATGATCACTTGCAGCCCTTTTCTCCTTTAATCTCCATGCTTACTACTACTTTAACCTTACAGCATCGTTAACTCCTGACCGCCTCTCCAGATACCTTTTCTCCTTGCCTTCATACTAATTCCTTTATTTTTTTCCCCCTTCATGCATTCCTTGGTTTCTTTCTCAGGCTTCCAAGAGCTTTAAATATCTGTTCTGTTTTTTTTTTTCCCCCCCCTATTTCCTGTCTTTCCATCACTGCTCGTACCACACCACCAGCAGAGGAAGCCCCTGAAGAAGGTATGTGATGCACCTACAGACTCTCACGCTTTTTCTTTTTCAGTGCTGGGGAAACGGTGTTAAAAACACTGACCTTGTTCAAGAGCAAAGAGAGCATGGGAGGGAAATGGTCTCTCTGGATGGCTTTGGATGAACATGGAGAAAAGGGCTGTATGTTTGCCAAACCAAATCACCAAAAAGGTGTTTTTTTCTTCTTGTTCCATCTCCGGAGATTCCGAGGTTCCCAGCATAGCAGGGAGAGAGTGGGGACAGTTGCTCTTAGGACAACAGCGCTGGTTATGGATTGACTACTGTGTTTCTTCTCTTTTGCTTTTATCCTTCAACCTACAGCTGATGAAGGCGGCGAATACTATGATGGTAGCTCAATGTTGTCTTAGGACAACAAAGTAATCCTTCTAACACCTCACTCTTTTTTTTCCCTGTATTTGTTTTTGTGCCTCACTTGATTTTAAACTCAGGAACTGGGCCAAAACATCTCTGCCGCAAAGAATTGCTTACTGTGCATATCCAGTCACCCTTGGAGGGTCACTGTTGTATTGAGAAGCCTGTACATCCTCATTAGGATAGTAAATGGTTAAAACCAAGCTCTAGAAGCTTGCTCTGGACTTGTCTTTTAGCTGGAACCTGTTGTGTCATACATCTCACCAGCAAACCGTCTCTATCAC